TAGCCAGGGTAACCAGGATATGTAAGTTAGCCAGGGTAACCAGGATATGTAAGTTAGTCAGGGTAACCAGGATATGTAAGTTAGCCATGGTAACCAGGATATGTAAGTTAGCCAGGGTAACCAGGATCTGTAAGTTAGCCAGATTACCCAAATACATATGTTCTAGCCAGGGTAACCAGGATATGTAAGTTAGCCAGGGTAACCAGGATATGTAAGTTAGCCAGGGTAACCAGGATATGTAAGTTAGTCATGGTAACCAGGATATGTAAGTTAGCCAGGGTAACCAGGATATGTAAGTTAGCCAGGGTAACCAGGATATGTAAGTTAGCCAGGGTAACCAGAATATGTAAGTTAGCCAGGGTTACCAGGATATGTAAGTTAGCCAGGGTAACCAGGATATGTAAGTTAGCCATGGTAACCAGGATATGTAAGTTAGCCAGGGTAACCAGGATCTGTAAGTTAGCCAGATTACCCAAATACATATGTTCTAGCCAGGGTAACCAGGATATGTAAGTTAGCCAGGGTAACCAGGATATGTAAGTTAGTCAGGGTAACCAGGATATGTAAGTTAGCCATGGTAACCAGGATATGTAAGTTAGCCAGGGTAACCAGGATCTGTAAGTTAGCCAGATTACCCAAATACATATGTTCTAGCCAGGGTAACCAGGATATGTAAGTTAGTCAGGGTAACCAGGATATGCAAGTTAGCCATGGTAACCAGGATATGTAAGTTAGCCAGGGTAACCAGGATCTGTAAGTTAGCCAGATTACCCAAATACATATGTTCTAGCCAGGGTAACCAGGATATGTAAGTTAGCCAGGGTAACCAGGATATGTAAGTTAGTCAGGGTAACCAGGATATGCAAGTTAGCCATGGTAACCAGGACATGTAAGTTAGCCATGGTAACGAGGATATGTAAGTTAGCCAGGGTAACCAGGATCTGTAAGTTAGCCAGATTACCCAAATACATATGTTCTAGCCAGGGTAACCAGGATATGTAAGTTAGCCAGGGTAACCAGGATATGTAAGTTAGCCAGCGTAACCAGGATCTGTAAGTTAGCCAGATTACCGAAATACATATGTTCTAGCCAGGGTATCCAGGATATGTAAGTTAGCCATGGTAACCAGGATATGTAAGTTAGCCATGGTAACCAGGATATGTAAGTTAGCCAGATTACCGAAATACATATGTTCTAGCCAGGGTAACCAGGATATGTAAGTTAGCCAGGGTAACCAGGATATGTAAGTTAGCCATGGTAACCAGGATATGTAAGTTAGCCAGGGTAACCAGGATCTGTAAGTTAGCCAGATTACCCAAATACATATGTTA